AATGTGCCTTTTAATTTCCTGGCTACTGGTGCCAAGAGTGTTGACTATGGAGCCAAGAAAACTAAAGCTGTGAGCAATCTCTATCTGGTCAATTTGCTGTGATAAAGTAAGCTGGGTTTGCTGTGACACTAACTCTTGTGCCATTTGGATCTCAAATTTCATAATGGAACAACTGTGCCATAGGTGTGCCAAACACCATAATGGCTACCCATTGTGGGCAGTGTTTGGTAGAGTTCCAAGACTGATTCAAGTTTGGAATCAGGAATAGCATCACTTCCTAAGCCACATGTCTCTGGAAATTCTATGTACTTGGAGAAACAATGATAACTAGAGGAAGGCTTCAGGATTTTTGTTTAAAGGGTCACTTTGAGTTGTGCTTGACTTGATGGCAATAAACAACAACAACAACAATGTGTTGCTGGAGGAAGAAAGAAAATAATTCCAGGTTCCAGGTTCATGTCTTTATGTATGAAATAGTTTCTACAATGTAAATTCTAAGAGAAAACTACAAATTGTGCTGAAAAGAAAGTTTAGTGGGCTATGAAGTCAATATACTTATCTTTCCAATAAATACATGTAGCGTCAATGAGCTCATGCTAAAAAATGAGAGAGCGAGAGTGTGTTTGTGTGTGCGCCCATGTGAGCGCACCTGTGCAGAATGCCTTTCTTTGATCAGAGACCATGTATTTTCAAGAAATGTTTCTATAATATAAAAAACTCAAATGTGGTAATACTGTGTTTGAGTGAATTATCTGAAATAACACTTGAGAGTATTGTCTTCAGAACTGCTGTGGTCTTGCTTTTCTTAACCAAATGTAGGGTCTATATGTTAAGAAAATTAGCATTATATAATGTTGTTGTTATGTGCCACCGAGTCATTTTTGACTCCTAGCGACCCTATGTACAAGACCTCTAAACGCTGTTCTATCCTGTGCCAACCTAGCCATCTCAAACGCATGTATTCCCACCGCTCCGGTCACAGAATCGATGCATCTCATCGAAGGTCTTCCTCTCCTTCGCCGGTCCTCCACTCTGCCAAACATGATGTCCCTCTCCAA